ACCTCTCCAGGGGCATTTCTTAGTCATGTCCAGTTTAGAGCACGGTGACAGTCTCTCTCAAACCAGTAAACAGCATCGTTGTCCACGCAAGTGCTCTGGGAGCCACTCCACCCCAAATTGCTATTGTCCCCCTAGCGCAAATGAGGGTTACCTATTATTCAAGGACTCCAGCAGATGCCTTCCTTCTAAATGGTCTCTTCACACCCATGCTTGTCCCTACTCAATCCACTATCCACTGCTGCCAGTCATTTGTTAAAATGGAAACCAAGTTCCCGCCTAGCTTACCCTCCACCCCGGTCGGCTCCCCACTGCGTGAGAACACTGCCGGGCAGATCACCCTACTCCTCTCTCCCTGGCTCCCCGCGTGGGCCATCTGACTTCATTCAGCTGCTCACACTTTCCCACTCCAGGCTTCATACCTGCTTCACACATCTGGAGTCTGGAGTGCTCTCACCACCTGGGTATCTCCCCTTTCTCCCTAGGGTGTCATTTACACACCACTTCCCTGTAAGCCTCTCTTTAACTCTACGGACGGGAGGAAGCCCTCTTGTTCCTTGCTTCCAATGCAGCCTATGCATGACATCAGGACTTCACAGCACTTGCTACACTCCGATTATCTGCAATTACTGGTTTAATGCTTGTATTCTATGACTGGAAGTTGAATAAAGCATGCATTATACTTGGTTCACCTATGTAATCCAGCACCGTCATATACAGAGCTAATGACTTGACTGATTCTTAATGAAAATAAGCATGTGTTATACTTTATATAAACTGGATTGATTGAAAGCCACCATTGAAAACAAAAGTTATGTTTTATTTGAAGTTTTGTATTTGCACTAAATATGCCTTTCCCTGTTTTAGTAATTTGTTATAGTTATTTTCAATAATTCCCCTAACAGTTAATGAAAAAGTCTGTATTTAATTTTTCATTAATTAGTATGCTTGGCAGATTTACATTCAAGCCATCCTGTTTGTAATATGTTTAAACTGATCAAAAAAATTTTTGGAAGTAAAAGAAAAAATATTTATTAATACTATGAATTTCCAATGGTCAAAATTTGATTTTTTCTCCCTTTGTTCAAGTCAGTGTATGACTTTTTGGTAGAAATACATTCTAATTTCTGCAGAAATAGCAAAGAACTAAGATACTTGGCATTTAGCTCCAAAAATAAAACCAGCAGAGGGAGCATAAGAACATAAAACTAGTTTCCTAAGTCCCCATGGATTAGTAAATGCTATGTTTGGCCTCTGGGTACAACTATTAGGCCGATTCCATCATAACCCATATTTTTATATGACCTTCTGTACTATAACCAAGAGTGCTGGGTGAATGGTTATGACTCTGTACATACACCAAAGACTTGTCTGCTTCTGAGTTTGGATCTGGACTGATGAGACTCTAAAGATCACTGTAACGGATCTAGGTTCATCTTAAGGTCTATGTTTGGGAGGTAGGGGACTGAGGAGACTAATCTAATCCTTACAAAACCCCTTTTTCCAGAATTGTGTCTGGCCAAGCTTGCGACCTCGCAGGGCCCAGAATGAGTCTACTGCATAGGAAGAGCTCAACAATGTTTGAATCCCCATAGAATCTCTTAGAGGTCCTTGCTCCAGCTTTAAATAAATGAGTTGTGCTGTAGCCAGACTGGCAATGGGTAGATACTACTGCCAAGAATAATGACAAGTTAAATATGTGACTTGATACATTTGTCTTCATGTTAGTGACCTTTCTGGGCCATGTCTTGTCTTCCTCAAAGACAGCTCATGATAAAATCACATGAAAATGCTTTAAATATTTTAAGAAAGACAAGACACAATGTCAAGGTAACATTTTATATTAGAACTAACTCTCAAGACATGAAACCCTTGGGCCCCATCTGGTTCACCACACAGTGGTAAGCAGTAGCTACTTACCCTTTTTTTCTGACCTGGAGGCAACAATACAGAACTCAGAGCACTCCTACCAGCCACCATATGGTGAACTCCTGACCACTAACGAGCCAAAAGATCAGGCTCAATACCACCTCCGCCACACCAAATCTGGGAACTAGCCAGTCCATCGCCAGGCCTGCTGAGCTCATTGCCTAAATGTTACCTTCAGTCTGTCTACTCCTCGCTTTCCCATTACCACTGCCACGTTTTGAGGTGCTGGCTTTCCGATTACATGTCCTACTCTACTGCCAGAACTACCTCTTAAAATCCGATCAGGTTAACGTCTTTGCTTAAAACTCTATAATGGTTTTTTACTGACATCAGGGTAATGCCTCAGTGATCCGAACTGACTCTAGCTTCCTTTCTGGCTGTCCCCCACCTCCTACTCAGTGTTCTAACCAAAAAGAGTTACTAGAGTTGCCAAGAGAGCCACACTTGCAAATCTCCATGCCACCATGCTGGTTTGCTCTGCCTGGAATGTTCTTCTCGCTTTTTCATGAACTCAACACTTACTCCTCCCCAAAGATCTTAAATCAAGCAACATCTCCCCTAGGGAGGCCTTCCCTGATTAACTCCCACTCCCACCCAAGCTAGGTGCCCATTCTGTGTTCCTGGAGGCACGCGGTACCTGCTTCCCCACTGCGCTTGCCACCACACACTAGGATTACTGTTTAGCTTCTGTCTCTCTCACTGGGCTGTGTAGAATTTGAGGACAATGACTATGCCTTTATTTCTGTGATTGGGAGCACTGGCTGAGATCAACTAGGGAGGTGGGTCCAGGGCAGAACTCACAAAGAGACCACAAAGGAGATGGGAAAGAGCAGTTGGGAGAGGCAGAAGAAAACGGGGAAAGCACGTGTCACAGAAGCCCACAGAGGGCAGATACAAGCAGGAAGGAATGGCCATAATGTAAAACACTGCTGAAAGGTTTAAGTAGGACATAGCTTAAAACACGTCCACTGGATTTAGCAGGCCACTGGCCACCTGTGAGGGCAGTTTAGGCAAAGTGATGAGACAGGCCAAATTGTAGGTGGCTGGAAAGCAAATAGGAGGTGAAGAATTTGAAGCAGCTGGGAAAATGATATTCTTTTAAAAAAGCACTGCTATTTGCTACAACATAAAGTTTAGGTGGAGTGAAAAAAGGCAGTCACAAAACAACAAATACTATGATTCCCCTCATTGGAGGTACAGAGTATTCAAAGTCACAGAGACAGAAAGTGGAATGGTGGTCACCAGGGGCTGGGAAGAAGGGGGACATTAATGCTTAATGGGTACAGAACTTCAGTTTTGCAAAACAAGGTGAATGTACTTAATGTCACTGAGCTTGCACAGTTAAAAATGATTAAAATGATAAATTTTAGATTACATATATTTTACCACAATTTTTTTTAAAAAGGAAAAAGCATTGCTATTAAGAAAATAAGATGGAAGTTGCTACATGAAATTGAGAGGGGTTTTATTTGTTTTGTTTGTTTGTTTTTAACAGAGAGACAAGAAACTTTAGCATGTTAATAAATTGAGAAGAATAATTTAGTCAAAAGGGAGAAAAGAGAAAGACTTTTGGTGTGGAGACCCTGAGGAGACTGAGCCTGGGGCCACAGGACAGGGCAGAAGGGCAAAAGGTGAGGAGGGGACAGAGGAGAAGTTTGCCTGTTGAGGAGGGAATACGGGTAGACAAGAAAAATATTTTTTTAAAAGCTTCTATCTGATAACATCTACTTTTCTTTGAATGAGAATGATGGGGGATGGGAGGAGGGGTTTGGGGAGAGTGATGAAGGTCTGAGAAAGCTGTTGAGGGAAATGGCAGGAGTGTACTGAAGATCTGTAGAGGGTCTATTACCAAGAAGGAAGAACAAGGGGACCCTGAGCTGAGCATGTTGGGAAGCATGTGGCTGAAGCGATGCACCACTGGGAAGGAAGGAGAGATGGGGTGGAGACCTGGGGAATGAAGGATCAAGGAGCCGACTTCTCAACAAAGGCAAGAGCAAGTGGGTTTAGGGAAGTGAAAGATTACAACACTGAAGTTAGCAGTGAAACACAGATGTTTAAGATTCCTGGCTAGGGTATAGGTGGCTAAAAAGAGAAATCCGATCAGGAGGACCTGGGGCCCAGCCACAGGGGATGTTTCTGTGTGTCTTTCCTCCCAAAGGCAGCGATAATGCAGATGATCTTTTAAGACTCTTTTTCCCCCCCTGGATTCAATTTTCTCTTTAACTGCATTCCTTTTTTTCTCTTTAGAAAATCCCTTATGATCTAGGTACTATCTCATTTTACATCCTCATTCACCTACTTTTATTCTTATTATGATGTCTAAACTCAGCATTAACCTTGAGCTGTACTAAACTATGGGTTGGTTATCTGCAGAAGATGCAAAATCCCATTAGGATGAAAACAGGCAGTGACTCACTCCACAGAGTCAACATCACATATTAAAAATACTAGTAAAAATTTAACCATTATCACCTACTCAAGTCTTTTAAAAGTTAAGAGTGGATATTTTATATTACCTTATTTAAATGAACCTGAGGAGACCAGTAACATTAAAAGGGCCTTGGGTTTTAAACTGAATAGAACCCAAAAGGAAGGGAAGTTAAAGAGGAACTTGTACCTTTTTATGCAACATGGCTACCCATGATAAACATAGTTTTCATTTCATTCGTCTTGGAATTGGGAGTATCTCTTGCACACCATCTCCTTGCTCCATGGATGGCAATGACAGACTGAGGCAGCTGTCCAATGGGGTTTGTACAGTTGTCATACAGTCTCAAACAATGTCTCATTAACATATGCCAACATTGGCTTTCTCCAGGGCAACATGATAAAGAATTAGTCACCAACATTTTCAAAAAAGATTGGTTCTTCTTTTGTCTGGATCGATGAAGAAAATTTTTGACATTATATCTTACTGAGTCATTCGGAAATCAGTTATGTGTATGTGTATCTTTGCATAAACCCAGAGAGTACCTTGTCACTTTCACAACATGTCATATGAACACCAGAACATGCAGCAGGTGCTAGCTCACTGGAGAGCAAGTAGCACACAGAGATTTTGCTTTCAATCCCACCTGTATGTCCTCTGAATGTTGTGATCAGGGTGCAGTTTTCTTGCTCCAGTTTGAGGATGGTTACTTGGCCTGAATGGTCACCAATAAACACATGCCGGGTTTCAACATCGAATCTATCATGAAGCATTAAGGATTGTTTCTCAAAATCAAGTGGAGGGATTTACAAAAATAAATAAACGTAAAAAACAATGTGCAAATCCCCTATGAGGAAAACCTGGACATAATGCTGCAAGATACAAAAGTGAATATAACAAAATGAAAGAAAGACACAGTTTTATTGGACAATATGACTCAACATGATAAAGATGTCAATTCGCACAACATGAAATGATAAATTTAATATAATCCCTATAACAATTCCGACATGTTTTCTCCTAGAACTAGATATGTTAATTTTAAAGTTCATACAGAAAAATAAATAAGAAGAGCTAGAAATGCTCTGAAAATAAATAGTAATGTGGTTACGTAATAGGGGAAGGCTAGCCCTACCAGATATTAAAATATGTTATAAAGTCCCTTTAATTAAAAGTGTGGATTTGGTGTGTATATAAACAAACAGACCAATGGAATAGAATAGAAAGTCTAGAAAGAGACCCAAAAACATACAGAAATTTGCAACACGTCTAATAAAGGTGGTTCTTCAAAAGAATAAGGAAAAGATGGATTAAAAAAAGGATACTGGCACAAACTGGACAGTCATTTGGAAAAATAAAATAGGCTCTGTATTTCACATTATATACCAGGAAAAATTCCAAATGAATTAGAGATCTAAATGTAAAAAATTAAAAATATAAGTTCTAGATGGGAGAGTTCCTTTATAACTTTGGGGTGGAAAACACTATTTATACTCAAAAACACAGATGACAAATACTATAAGCAAACCTTAAAGACAAACTTGAAAAAATATTTGCAACTTATGTCACGAAAGGCCCAAATCTCTAATACATAAAAAGAGCAATCAAGAAGAAAAAGATCATAAACTTAATAGAAAAATAGGCAAAATTTATGGATGGATAGTTCGAGAAATGAAAATGGTGCTGTGTAAAAAGGAATTGACTTAGTAGGGCTCACTGCTGTCCTTTGAAAGGCTGTCTATGAGGCTGCCATGGCATCTGGGAACTTGGATTTCAGGAGGGTCCCCGCTATTAACAGATGAGAGTGGCTCACTGTGCCCTAACTGTACAAACAACATGGTTTATGCCAAACACCTGCTTTCCTTCTGGGATTCTGGAAGTTTGGTACATGCCAGGCAGAGGCTGCCAACAGACAGTGACCAGTATCCAGTAAAAATCCAAGGTGCTAAGTCTCTAGGGAGCTTTCCCTGGTGGATAATGGCTAGCAATCCTACCTCTAGAGACCTATCCCAGAGAAACGCTGGCAAAAAAAAAAACCAAAATGACACATGCCTAAGGCTATTTACTCTATATTACTGTAATAGCTAAAATTTAAAAATAACCCAAAAGTCCTACAAAAGGAGACTTACTGAATTAACTATGATACGTCCATGCAATAGAATACAAAGCAGCTGGGGAAAAAAAGACCTCCATACCATAAACAAAGTGACATGGAGTAACTTTCAAGATATACTATTATGTGGGAAAAAAAGCCAAGGTATGTTAAGAGTCTATATGCTATACTACTTTTATGTAACAAAGGGAGGAAATGCAAAGATAAGTGTGTGTGTGCTCATATTTAGAAAAGGAAGCACTGGAAGGATAAATTGAGCTCTAACAAAAAAGGCTGCTTATGGAGAAGGGAGAAACAGCTGAGGGGACAGGAACAGTTGTGGACTTCTCGTTATATAATTTCCACTTCGCAATCTTGTAATTATTTTATACATTAAAAATATTTATAAAATTAAAAGGAAAAAAACCCCTCAAACTGATAATAAAATTTAAAACAAATAAACCTAACTACTGGTGATACAGCCATGTAGTTAACATAAAGATCTCAAGTGACTTCAAAACACAGCATTTTGACTGTAAGTATAATATATTCTAAGGACAGAGAGAACTGCAAAGAAATCTAAAATGTCATTCAGTAGTCTTGTTATTATAATATTACTATTATTATTTCGAAACAACTTAAACATACTATAGGATAAGTAAGGAATTATGTTGTTTTAGGAACCAAGATTTTCAGCCCAAGGCAAAAGAATCAAGTACAAAAATGAAGTAAAAATCTTCTAATGTTAAATTTGAATTGGAAATATTATATAAACTGATTATTTTTTTAAAAAATACACACATATATCTCCTAGCTTTCTCTGAATACAATATCTCACTAAAAGAAGCAGGTGACTGCAGGGCTGGGACAGGAAGGTACAAGATGAGCTTAAGACAGTTGTGCCAAAAAGCAAGGAAGCTCTCAGAGGCTATGGGTTGTGCCAAAAAGACACAGGAGCCAATATGAATCTTACTGGCCAAAGATGAGACAATATGAACATTAAAAAAAAAAAAAAGCCAATTTATTAAAATACACTTAATATATTATTAAACAAACTCTAAGACTTTATAATGATGTTCAAAATAATAATAATAATAAAAGATGCCTATTGGAGGTAACCAGGACACTAACTTTCTATCTGAAAATGAGCAATTAAAAAGTAATAATTAAGAATTTATGTTGCTTTTCCTGTACTAATTGTATTTCAGGATAATCAAAGAGCCCTAGTTAAATGAGGTAAAGTTCTACTTTATAGCAGAATTCCAACTAATACATGTATAAGAAATGACAAGATTACAAAATCAACATTTTGCAATGCCAGTGGAAGAACTGGTTTAGGCAAAGATCAGCAATGGATGAAACCATGAAATGAAAGGGTTATGGGAGGACTGCAATGTAGGGAATGGCTGTCACCACCTGAACCACTAATTAATCTTGGTTTCACTGAAAGGGTGACAATCCCACGTACTACGTGCTTCCTGCTATGAAGCAATATGGAACACAACAGCACAATTACTAAGTGTCTTACCAAAAGTTGAATCTGAACTGAATGAAGATTTCAGAGGCACTTTCAGTTTACAGAAATGTATGGGATATGGGTAGGTAGAGGAAAAGGTTAAATGACAACATGAGGAAGCAGAGATCAATGCAGCACGTGGAACTGTCTATAGAAGAACTGCCTTTACAGTGGCATTAAAAGAAAGGCTGGGGTCACTGCTCTGGATTGAGAGATTGAGGAGATGTGACAACCTTACTCAACTGTGGGCTTTGTTTGGATCCAACTTCAAACAAACCCACTGCAAAAAACCATTTTAGAAACCATTAAGTGAAATTTGAAAATTGATTGATCATTTAACAATATCAAAGACTATAAATTTTTAGAATAATAGCACTGTGGTTATTGAAAAAAATATCCATAATTTTTAGAAGTATGTAAGAATGGAATGACATAAGGTCTGGAATTTGCTTTAAAATGCTCCAGGAAAAAGAGACAGAAAGCAGAAAGGGACAAAAGAATCAATAGTGGATCTGAGTGATGAGTATGTGAGTGTCCATTATACTATTTTTTTCCAATTTGGTACATGTTTCGATATTTTTCATAATACATCTTTTAAAAAAGTAAAGAACAAGGCATAACAAATTCTCCCTGTCTCAAGAAAAGTTATACTCTACAAACAAGTAGATATATCTAAAACAAAATTAAGATTTATATGGAACAAGATTACCTTAAATTTATCTTGATTAATTATAAGAACACAGATGAAAAAACATTTAATTTGATACACAACAGTCTCTACAATTGCAAGAAAACAATAGAATTCTCTAAAAAATATATATGTATAAACTCAACTAGAGTTATTTGGAAGAAGGCTGAAATAAAACTGTAGTACAACCTCACAGCCAGAGTGACTGGCATTAAGTATGATACGAGGAAATATGAAAAATCAAGATAACAGCTTTTCAGTACTCTCCTTGAATATGAACAGATCTAAGAGACTATTTGGTGGAAAGACATTTTACTACATAGGGTGACATCTTGAAACTACCTCCAACATGAATAGCATCTTAAAATGAAGAGTACTTGGATTATTCTTGTGGAAGCATGAAACATGTGATCAAATCATGGTCAAATGACAAGACTGAAAGGTGAGGCTAAAGTATTCACAAATTTACAGACTATGAAGGGAGTGAGGAAGTAAACAGTTCTATTTCCTAGCACTGACCTGCAATGGGATCTCTGGGAGATACCGCCATCCTGCTGTAGCCAGCCATGCAAAGGACTCGCCGAAAGACTGATTCCTAAGCCGTAGTCCTGGTGCTTCCAGGTAACAGTCATGTGACCTCAAGAAAGTCACTAAGCTATCTCAGCTTCTCTGAGCCTTAGTTTCTACATTGTGAAAATTGAGAGAATTAGGTCTTTTTCTTTTTACTTCATCTTACTGTTTTGATGAACAAAATAACATGTAGAAAAATCTCAGGGACTGCAAATATAAGTTATTCTTTTTCCTCTCCTTCTCTGCCTTATTATTACTACTGTTACTGTTGGTTTTATAGTTCACTTAATATTTGAAGCCTCATATCTTTAGCCAAATCAATGAAAGATTTTGAGGTTATTCAGAAATTGATAATTTAGTTTGTAAACTGGTCAGTCTCTTTGTCTTCCTTTATTTCTCTACTTCAATTTTGGTTGTTTTCATTGCATATTTACTCTTCAATAAAAGGCCTGAAAAGAAAGAAAAATGTTGAATTTAATATGATTCATTCTGTCACTTGTTGGCTTGGGTGAATGGCTGTCTGAGGTGGAGATGGTCGAGAAGTAGTTCATGTGTAGAAGTCTCTTATCTAGACCACTAGTGTTCACTAGTGTCCAAGATCTGCTTCTTCCTTCCTTTATGAAAAAACAAAACAAATAAAAAAACCCAAAACAAAACAACAACAACAAAAAAAAAACTCAGTATGCGAGGTAGCAGAAAAAGAAAGAGAGGTGGGGAGTGGAGAGCTCCCATGAGAAATGTGTTTAAAAACTTGATTTTAATGTGAACTCCAATACTGTATGGGCTGCCTGTTAACAATCTGTGCACTAGGCAGCTCCCAAAGAAACACCTCCAGCATTGGGAAAGCCACATGGTTCTTGGCTGACACTCTGGCAAAAGCAGTGCTGTTATGCCATCAGGGTGCAGCACTGGCAAACCACCAGGAATGTATGTGCTCCCAGGAGTAAGAGTTAGCACTGTGGCTCCAAAACCAGAGCTGGAGCGATGGAGCTGGTGGAGGTGAGCGAATCTTCTGAAAGGGCCTGTCTCTCTGTAGTACTGCAGATCCCCTTTGCCTGAATAGCAAGGTTAGATTGGACAGTCATGGATGCTGGGAAATGAAGCCACAGGCTTCCACACATACACAAGGGCTTCTGGAATCCAATCACACAGTTTTTTATGCTGGGTAAACTGCATGGTGCAGCCAAGCGAAGCAGCTGAAAAATGAGGATGACTCGGAGATGCCTGAAGACAGTCAAAGACCACCACAGTGAAGACAAGTTCAATTCTGTGTATTTGTGTTTCATTATTCATTTTCGGATAGTCTAAAAAGTAAACTTCTTAAAGGCAAGATCGGTATTTTTTCTATATTCCTTGGCTTGGCTAATGATATAGGAGCTGGTGTATGAAGAACAAATTATATCGGTGCCATTAGTTCTGCTCTCAAAGGGGTAATGAAGTATAATGGGGAAATAGTGGTCCAAGTAGAAGACCTGGGTTCTGGCAGTGACTTTGCTACATACACCTGTGCGGGGAGCCGCACGTAAGGCACGTGACCCTCTGGGCTTCAGCTCACTCATCTGTAAAATGAGTTGAGTGGATGAGCTCTAAGGGTCTTTCCAGCTCTAACTCTATAAAAATTATTACTCTATTGGCAAGAGGGATCATGTATTTCAATTCAAGCATTAGGCTTGTCTGAACTGGCTCTTAGAAAGTAAACTTTAGAGTTTCTTTTATTAACAGGTGGCATCACCCTCTCAAAGACAAGCTGATCCTGTTCTCCATTCCTTATTGCCCTGGCTTCTGGTCTTCTTGGTAATGTGCCACTTTGATAACCATCCATAAAGGCCATTCTTAGTTTCTTCATCTTGCCCTTTCAGCGAGGAAAATAAGCGTGACATTAGCCTATACATACAAAAAATACAGCTACTGCCACACATCCACAAAGACACAGCAAAATACTTTTTCAAGTTGTAGAGAATCACTGAATAGGCATTTTACAAAAGAGATAAAATCTGAAAGCAAGTCTTACTATTTCTGTCTGCTTTGGCTGACAAACGATCTATTTCCATCTATTTCCTCCTTTGCCAGAAAATGAAGAGTTCTATGTTTTTTAAATTAAGAAAGCCAAGGCTCCTCACTCCTCTCAATGGTAGCATCATCTACATAGCCTTCATACTTGTCAAGCCCATGCTCCCTGGAGCCTAGTGAGGACCACTCAGTATTAGCAGGTGCTCACACAGAGCACCTGGACCCTAGAAACTTGGGAGAGAGGAATTAACATCATTCTATGGACCCTGGAAATGTCTTGTACCTGGAACAAAGCCCGTAACATGGTAGCCTCTCAAATGTTTTTAAAATGAATAGGAATCCTGTGGTGTTTCTGCCAGGCACCAATGGGAGTGTGCACAACCTTACTATCTATGTGTACATTACTTTTGTACAAAAATAGAAGACTGTACTTCAGTGATGGTTTTATCTCCATGTTCCATAATTCCTTCCGACAGCTGAGGCTCACAGTCTGGGCCGAGTCCTATCTAATGTCAGACTTTGAGTCATGGCAGAACGCAACCTGCTCAGCAGGGTCTGTTATTTTAGGCAAAAGAACGAACCTCACTTTACTCCTCTTACATGAGAGTTTGCACATTAGGAAAGTCTATGAGCATCTTAATCAGTAGGGCAAGTCAGCAAATAAAAAACTTTCAAGTTGCACATACCCCAAATTTTCATGAAAGAAAGAAGCCAACAGCTAAGTTCCCACCAAGGAATCTGGTCCAGCAAAGGATACTGCAGGCCCGAGGCCACAGCACTGGTGCGATAACCTCCCAGGCGCTGCCCGCTCTCAGAGCAGTGCCAGGCAAATTGCTTGTCCTGTCCTGTGCTCAGCACCCACTCCAGCTCCAGGACAAACAGGATCATCGTCACTCTGCTCTGATGCGCTGGAAACCAAGAAAAAAGAAAACAACCCATAAAGTATCCTAAAAGAGGCTGGTAAAGCATGGTCCACAGAGGTGCAGGTTCTCTTCTCCTCACTCCCAAAATAAACAAAAACAGCCTAGAACAGGGGCTCTCATCAGTGGCTGGGGTGTGCCCCTGTAAGGAGCACATCTAAGTTTTTATATGACTTTTTAAAAATGATCCATTTCTTCCCACTGCTCTTTTCTTTCCTGCCTCCATCAACCCAAAAATTAGTACCACAGAGGGATCCCGTTACTGAAAGGCCTGGGCCACTACTCTGAGACGTGTTAGAGCTGCTGGCTAGAAAAATCAGATTCAGTGTGACTACAAAACACATTAGAAACAATGTTCTTGTAACAAAGTCACTGGAGTCATTTTATCTAAGCTTAAAATAAGTAAGGATGATTACTCTTCTTTGGATAAAGTCTGGCTGATAAGTCTACAACGAAGTTGTACATCAATTTTCTGGAAGACATCAAACGCTTAGAAAGGAGGACGGAATTAGTCCCGAGTGCTAAATAAAAGAGGATGAAATGTCTCTTACATCAAACTACACATACGTGTAGTCATGACAGCAATTTTCCCAGGGCTGCTCATACACAAGAACAACATCATCACAGAATTACTGCATCACACGATTTCAGAGTTAGAAGGAACTATTCATGTCACCATCCCCATCTCCCTATTTTACATATTTTTCATTTTCAGGGCAAACTGGGGCACAATAAAGTTGAAGAGCTTGGTCAATGTTTCGTGGCTTCTCAACTACCAAATAAAATCAGTAAAATATTTGCTTTCTTCTTATTACACAGTTCTAAGGGGTGAGGTAGAGGGGGTCTGTGGCCACTGAACAGAGCTGACAGGAATAAACAAAGGCTGGCATACTGGAACCTGGACCTCACTAGTCCAGTCTGGTGGGTGAGGATAGACTCATCATCAGTGCGATGCACTGATAGAGAAGACATGTTTTCATGTTTTGATCATGAAAATACACAGTATAGACGGATCAATGCAGCTCCATCGGCAACAACAACATCACCTGCAATTTCTGAGTGCCTAACAAGTGCCAATACTTAAATATATGATCTCAGTTATTGTAATGACCCTACAAAGGTGGGTGGTGTCCTTTTACAGATACAACCTGTCCATGGCAAGATGACCCTTTTAGATTGGCTATCAAATAATACAGTCAAAACCAGAGTGAATACCCCCACAGAGAAGTCATTTCAACAAATGCCTGATGTTTTAAAATCCGATATTTTAAGCATGGAGAATCTAAAGGGATATAGAAGGGGTACAGAAGCAATAATATTATGACTTCTCTACAGTGAATATTTGCCTTTCAGCATATCAGCCACCATCAAGATCAAAATGTCTTTAACTGAAAGATGTGACTTCTTGGAGAAACTCTTTAAGATCTTGTCATGTCTGTGTCACGAGATGTCTAATTCAAGTTCCATCAATGATGGAATAAAAACAAATTCTCTAATGGGTCCAGGAGCACCCAAGTATATTTTAGGCAGAAGGTGGCCCCCAGAACTTTGCCCCTTTTTCTCGTAAAGAGGCCTCTGACCCTATCACTTTCTAAATCCAAAGGGATGAGAGTAGCCCAGAAGATATGGGGTGCTAGCCCTCTGAACTGCCATTATGTGCCAGAGGAGGAGACAGAGGCGTAAAAATGTTATGTGACTTGTTCAAAGCTGCACAATCAATGAGTGATGAAACTAAAATTAAAATCCTAGTCTTTCTGCCAAAGCTGGTTCTCTTTCTCTTTGTCAGGCTGCCTATGACTACTGAAGAAACAAAACAAAAATCCAAAACTCAAACACATACTGTTTCTCAGGTGACAGAATTCTTTTATTCAAAAAAAAAAAAAAAAAAAAAAAAAAGAGCAAAAAACCCTTTCAAGAGCCATATATATCACTAAGTGTCTAAAACCTGGGCTTGAAGCTTAACTATATTCTTGAATAGGAATGGTGAGATAGGACATTCTATCTTGATCCTGATCTTAAGGGAAAGAATCTAGTTTCTCAGAGTTAAGTATGATGTTAGCTATAGATTTTTTAGATGTTTCTTTATCAAGTTGAAGAAGTTCCCCTCTATGCGTAGTTTGCTAAGAATTTTTATCATGAATGGGTGTCAAATTTTAACAAATGCTTTTTCTGCATCAGTTGATATGATCACATGATGCTTCTTCTTTAGTCTTTTGATATAATGGATTATACTGATTTTCTAATGTTGAACCAGCTTTGCGTATCTGGAATAAATCCTACTTGGTCAGGGTATATAATTCTTTTTATACATTGTTGGATTGACTAGTATTTTTTGCAGGGTTTTACATCTATTTCATGAAGAGACACTGGTCTGTAGTTTTCTTTTCTTGTAATTGTCTGGTTTTTGTTATCACTGATTTTTAAAAAAATGTTTATTGAGATAAAATTCACCATTTAAACCCTTCTAGAATGTATAATTTAGTGGTTCTTAGTATGTTCACAATCTATGTTGTGCAATCATCATGGAAAATGTTCTATTTCCAGAACACTTCCATCATCCCCAAAATAAACCCATATCCTCAACTCCCCCTTCCCTGGGCAACCACTAATTTACTTTCTGTCTTGACAGATTCTTCTATTCTTGACATTTCATATAAATGTAATCGCACAATGTGCAGTCTTCTGTGTCTAGTTTCTTTCTATTAGCATGTTTTCAAGGGTCATCCATGTCATAGCACGTATTAGTACTTCATTCCTTTGTTATGGCCAAATAATAATTCATTGCACAGATATACCACATATCCATTTATCCATTCATCCACTGATGAACATTTAGGTTTTCATTTTTTGCAGTTATGAATAATTTTGCTATGAACACTTGTGTAAAAGTTTTTGTGTGACTACAGGTTTTCAATTCTCTTGAGTACACAGCTAGAAGTATAAATACTGTCACAAGGTAACTATGTTTAACTCTCAGAAACTGACAAACTATTTGCCAAAGTGGCTTCACCATTTTACATTCCCACCAGCAGTATATAAGGGTCCCAATTTCTCCACATCCTTGCCAACACTAGTCCCCCTCCTATTTTTGAGAGGAATGAGTATTTATTGAACCATTGAACTATGTTTCAGGTACTATACTGAGCAATTTACAACTGTAACTTCTTTTTTATTGTGGTAAGATAAACAAAACGCAAAATATATCATTTTAACCACTTTTAAGTGTATGATGCTGTGGCATTAAATACATTTACATTTTTGTATAATCATCACCACCATCCAATCTCCAGAACTTTTTTATATTCCCAAATAGAAACTCTGTACCCGTTAAGCACTAACTCCCCATTTCCCCTGCCCCCGCCTCAGCTCCTGACAACCACTTTCTGCCTCTATAAATTTGACTACTCTAGGTACCTCATTTAAGTGGTATTACGAAGTATATTTGTCTTTTTATGACTGGCTTATTTCACTTAGCATATTATTTTCAAGGTTCTTCCATGCTATAGCATATGTCAGAATTTCGTTTCATTTTAAGGCTGAATAATATTCCACTGTACGTATATACATTTTCTTCCACCTTTTAAATATTGTAAATAATGCTGCTATGCACATGGATATACAAATAAATATGTTTGAGTCCCTGCTTTTATTTTTTTGGGGGTATAAACCTGGGATAAACCTCACGTGGTCCTTTTTATGTATTGATGAATTTCATTTGCTAAAATTTTGGTTATATTTCTTGCATTTATTTTCATGGGGAATGTTGGCCTGTAAATTTCTTTTCTTGCAATGTCTTTGCCTAGTTTTAGTATCAGATAATGCTGACTTCATAAAATGAGTAGAGAAATCTCTTACTTCTCCAATTTCTCAGAGTTTGTATAGAGTTTGTATTCTTCCTTGAATCTCTGGCAAATCATTCACCAGTAACGCACCTAGGCCTGGAGTTTTCCTTGTGGGAAGATTTTAATCATAAATTCAATTTCTTTAGTAGATACAGGGTTATTAGGGTTATCTATTTCTTCTTGAGTGACCTTTTGCAGTTTGTATCTTTCAAAGACTTGTCCGTTTCATTAAAGTTGTTAAACTTATTAGCATAAAGTTATTCATAATATTCCCTATTTTCCTTTAAGTATCCCTAGATCTATAATAATAGCACTTCTCTCATTCTTGATATTGGTAATTTGCATTCTCTCTCTCTTTCTCTCTCTCTCTCTGTTAAGTCTGGCTAGAGGTTTATTACTTTTATTGATCTTCTCAAAAAAGAACGCAGCTTTGGGTGTCATTGATTTTTCTCTATTTTATTTTCTATTTCATGAACTTCTGCTATGACCTCTCTTCTGTTTCCTTTTTTTCCTCTTTCTGGTTTCTTGATGAAGAAACTGAGGTCACTTTTGAGGCCTTCTTCTCTTCTAACATGGGTGTTTAGTGCTATAAATTTCCCCTTATGTACTGCTTTAGCAGCATCTCATGAATTCTGATACTATGCTTTCATGTTCACAGTTCAAAATACTGTTGATTTCTCTTTTTTTTTCTGTGACCCATAGATTATTCAGATGTGGGTTATTTAGCTTCCTAGTATTTGGAGATTTTCTAGAGATCTTTCTATTATTGATTTCTACTTAAATTCCATTTTGATCAGAGAACATTACCTTACATGACTGAATTCCTCCAAATTTATTCAGACTTGTTTTATGGCCCAGAATATGGTCTACGTTGATAAATGTTCTGTGTACATTTTTAAAAGAATGTATATTCTGCTTTAGTTAAATGTAATGTTCTATAGATGGCAACTACAACAAGTTGGCTCTCTGTGTTATTCAAGTCTTCTATACCTTACTGATTTCTGCCTGCTTATTCTATCAATTATTGAAACGTTCTATCAATTATTGAGAATATTAAATTTCCTGACTATAGTTATGAATGTGTCTATTTAGCTTCCTAAAATTTCATGAAGTTTTACTTCACCTATTTCAAAGTTATGTTTATTAGGTGCATAAACGTTTAGGATTGTTATGCCCTCCTGAGGGATTGACCCCTTTATCTTTATGAAATGATCTTTTTTATCCCTGGTAATAATCTTTGCTCTGAAACCTACTGTGACTAATGTTAACAGAGCTACTCCAGCTTTCTTTCGACTAGTGTTTGCATAGTATGTCTTTTTCCATCATTTTATTTTTTACCTACTTATGCTTTTATAGTTAAGGTAGTTAACTTATAGGCAGTTTATATTTGGGTCTCTCATTTGCATTATATCTCATGGTCTTTGTCTTTTAGTTGGCTTTAGATCATATACATTTACTGTGATTATTGATAACTTGGTTAGGTTTAAATTTACTATTTTTCCCCCCATCTGTTCTTTTTCTCTTTTTTCTTGATTAACTAAGAATTATTTTATGATTCCATTTTATCTCCTTAGTTGGTTTCTGAGTTGTAGCTTTTTATTATTTTATTGGTTGCTTTAGGGCTAGTAGTATACATCTTTAACTTACAGTCTTCCTTTAAGTGATACTCTATCATTTCATGTATAGCTTAAGAACTTTACAATAGTATACTTCCATTTCTCTCCACCCCTTGGCCTTTGTTCTCTTATTGTCATACATTTTAAATTTACATATATTACGAACATCATGCTCTTTGTCATTATTTTTAAACAGCCAATTGTCTTTTAAAGAGACTTGAATAATAAGAATAAACCTTATACAGTTGACTCTTGAACAACATGTGTTTGAACTGTGCTGGTGCACTTATATGTGGATTTTTCCCAATAAATATAGTCAGCCCTCTGTATCCATGGGTTTCACGTCTGCAGATTCAACCAATCACTGATCAAAAATAGTATTTTCGATCTTCAAACTGTATTTTATTGTTCTGTGCCATTTTATACAAGGGGCTTGAGCATCCGTGGACTTGGATATCACTGGGCCGAAACCAATATTCCCACAGGTTCAGAGAGGGTGACAGCAGTTCTTATCATGAAATTCTTATCACGTTTGGTGTTCTATCTTCATTCTTTTGTGTAAATCCATACTTTCCTTTGACAGCACTTCCTTCCTTCCTGAAGGATGTCCTTTAACATTTCTTTTAGTACAGGTCTATGGATGGCAAATTCTTTCAGTTTTTCTATATCTGGAAAAATTTTTATTTCACCTCTATTTCTGAAAGATATTTTCATTGGGTATAGAATTCTATGTTGGCAGTTCTATTTTTTCAGTAATTTAAAGATGTTGTTCCACTGACATCAAATCTATCGCTTCACTAATTTACTGTGTCTAATCTACTCACTAATTTTTCGTATCTAAAAATTCTATTTGATTCTTTAAAAAATTTGCCTTTTTTTTTTTTAATAGGCTTTTTATTTTCTTCTGGTTTCTATACCTTCTCTGATTTTAAAAAATATTTTAAAAGATATAATGGTTGTTGGTCATTATTTAAGATTCTTGGCACAATTTTTACATTAACTTCCTAATTTGGAGCTTCTAGTACCACACAATTGGTTTAAATCTGTACTCCAAATCCAAAAGTTTTCTTTTTTTATAAACTGACATATAAGATTGTATTAATTTAAGGTGTTCAACATAACGATTTGATATACGTATATATTGTGAAATGATTACCACAAAGAGTTTTGTTAACATCTATCACCTAACATACACTTTTTTTTTCTTGTGATAAGAACTTTTAAGATCAAAAGTTTTTAGTTAGGATTTTGATTTATCATGAGAGACTTTTCCCTTCTATCCAGATTTGAGATGAGCAATAAATTTCCCTGTGATTTTCTGAGTCAATTAAGTGGAGAGTTTTGTTCCTCTCTTTTTCATGGGGTTATAACCTTTTATGGATTTCAGCTTTATATGGAAATCTCAGTTGCATTTCCCATCTCATTCAGACCCTCATCTCAGGTCCCCCAACTGAACATTCATGCAAAAGCTTCTAGCTATTAGTGGCTCTTTTTATTTCTGCAGGACAACTGCAATGTCAAGTCATGTGTACAGCACTATGAGCTTTGTGTTTTCTCTTTGCTTCTAGCACATAGGAATCTTCCTTTTGTTTCTTTCATGAGCTTAGCAGCGCTGCATTAAAAAGAGCAACAAAAAAAACAAAAGAAAGGATCATTTTACCATTTCTTTAGGTGTTTGTGGTGAAAGAGTTTATTCAGTCCTTTAGTTATCAATTTTTTAAATAAACCTCTTATAGACAAAATGGGAACAAATGAGCTATATTTTGATATGTTACATGTATATAAACCTGGGTGGATATAAGAGATCCAAAGAATAATGGCATACAAAGCGTGGTTTCTAGTGATATGATCATCATTTATGCATCTGTGAGGCCAATCGTTATTTTTAACAAAGACATAGGGATGATATATTTTAGCATTATACATTTAAGAAAAACACAAAACAAAGGGAGAGTTAATAAATTTGATGACAACTAGGATTTCAAAATATCTTGATAAGCTAAGATGATGGACTAAATAAAATGAGATGATAACAGAATGTGAAGTCAAGCATTTAAGATAAAAACAAAATAAAACAAAATAAAACAAAACAAGAAACAGCTTTAAAAGTACAAGAGATGCAGCCTAATAACAACTCAAGTGAGAACTGTTGAGGTAGTTGAGTTGACTGCTCTGCATGAATCCACAGTGTAAAGTGGCTGTCACCTTAATATTAGAACAGTGCCCAGGAGATGAAAGAAATAAGATTTTGTACTTATCACATTATATATGTGTATTACCTCTTATTGTGTAACAAATTACCCCAAAACTTACTGACTTAAAACAGTAAACATTTGTTATCATAAATCTTAGTGCTGCTTTGCCTGGTGCTTCTGCCGAAAAGTCTCTCACATGATAGAATGAGCAAGGTGTGGGATGGGGCTGTGGTCTCATCTGAAAGCCTGACAGAGGGAGGATGTGCTTCTAAGCCCGCTCACACAGTTGTTGACATGATTCAGTTCCTAACAGGCTGCTGAATGACAACGCAGAATGAATGAGGTCAAGAGATTTGGATGAAATGAGCTCTAAGTGTTATAAAGTCCACCTCTAATGTTCTGATCCCATGACACTGTTGGTCTGGATAAAGAAATCCTTAACAAAAATTACTCTTGATCCATATGATGAAAATGGCCTATGGTATGCTGTCAATGCTGAAGACATAATAAAACCATAATTCCCTTCCTTAGGCAGTATAATCAGACTGAGCCTTTTAAAACATTTAATGAAATGAGCCCCATGTAAAGCAGCTCACTCTTAACACTGGCCCTACACTCTATGTCTCTTACACTGTTTCAAGGCAGTATGGTATATAGCAGGAAGCCAAAGGACAAAGGCTGTGGGTTCTGGTGTCACACTGACCTACCTGGCCTGGCTCTGCACTTACTAGATATAGGGCCGTAGGCAGGTCACCTAACCTATTTGGGCTTCAGCAATCTTAATCCTAAAACTAGGATAATATTCACGTCAGAGTTGTTCTGTTTTGCTCCCCCTGACTATTGTAAAGTAAAGCCCCTCTTATGACAGTGGAAACCATCAAGAAACATTTCAAGGTCTAGGTAAATAAAAACACTGCTCTCATTCCTACCTTGATAGTTTTTCACAGGAGTCATCTTGTTATAATCTTCTGATAAAATAAATTCCTGTAAAAGAGAAGAAAAATATTAAGCAAAAAGAAATTCTTTAAGTGAATGGTTATGTTTCAGTAAAACCAGATTGTGTAAAGCAAACATCACCAGAGAATTACATCTCACATTAGTATTTTGCCAATCAACTTGGCATTTTTGTGCTTCTTTAAAAGTAATAATCATAACTGTGATCCAATGCAATTATCATAATTTTTACCTATGACTCGAAGCTGATATTTGGAGTATGCATGAAAAGAAACTGCATCAAGTTCAGAATCCGAATACTGATGAATTTTGAAGATAAACCTGATTTAAATTACTTTCCTTTCAATGATGCCATGGCTGAAATTTTGCAAGGCTCTGGCCAGTGACCAAATAGATGGCAATCCTCTACTAGAGAAATAAATATTTTAAAGATTTATTTCTAATATTGGTAACTTTCGCTGTACTATAAGCTTCTTAAGGCTGCATCTTATTCTTCTCTGTATCCTCAGGGCACCTGGCACAGCACCTTGGCACAGTAGGTAATTAATAAATGCTGAATAAATGAATATGTGAAAGGCACCTCTCAATTTGATGAGATTAGTTTGGGTGTCAAATTTATTCAAAATCAATTTCTATATGACCCATTGTATATATTCTTTGCGGGGACACATGAAAGGTGAGTGTGTGTGTGCTTCATGTATGTCATTCACCTCACTTCGTCTCATCACGTAGGCACTGTATCATCTCACATCATCACAAGAAGAAAAGGGTGAGTATAGTATGAGATATTTTGAGAGATGGAGACCATATTCATGTAACTTTTATTATAGTATGTTGTTATAATTATTCTTTTATTATTGTTGTTAATCTCTTATTGTGCCTAATTAATAAATTAAACTTTATTGCGGGTATATATATAGGAAAAAACTAATATAACACAGAATTTAATACTATCTGTGGTTTCAGGTACCCACTGGGGGTCTTGGAACATATTCCCTACAGATAAAGGGGCACTACTGTATTATAAAGCTACATTAATTATATATTGAGTTCTTTAAATTAGGAATAATTTAGAAAATATCTTAATATGTAAGCAGTTATATTTATGGCTACCTTTTTGTTGCTAAGTTCTAGTTTTATTGGCTTATATTTGGAAAACATTTTACTTCTTAAAATTTCATTAAAGATTTTCTTCATGGTCAAGATATTAATGATTTTGTAAATGTACTGTAGATATGAGAAAAATGTATTTTCTCTAAGTTCTAGATCTATTTGTATATCTATGTAATGAAACTGATAGTTTTCAAATATTATATATTTTTACTAGTCTACCTGAATTTTAAATTCAAAAAGATGCACTAAAAATGGGCTTTTTAGTGTTTATTATTCTGATTATAAAAGTAATATGCTTACTATAGACAAACAAAAACTATGGAACAATATCAAGAAGGAAATTTAAATTGTCTATAACTTTACAAATTAGTGATAATTCTTGTTAATATTCTGGCTGTTTTGCCTTTCAATCTTTTCCCTTATATACATCAAAACACATTAAAATGAAACAGCAGTACTACTGGTGCTATTCTGTAGCTCTCCTTTTTAACTTAACATTATCACATGAACATTCTTCATTATTAAACACTCTTTGAAAATGTAAGTTTAATGGCTATATAATATTCCATTGAACAGCTATGTAAGATTTTATCTAATTTGTCTCTTCTGATCATAACATTTCTAAGACACCAGTTATTATTATTTAATAAGATTATCCTTATAATTTTTGTTTTTATAATTATTTTCTTCAAATGGTTTTCCAGAAATGGAATTATTGATATAAAATGTACAAATACTTGGAAAGCTCCGTTTGCCTATCAATAATTTTTCTGAATAGTTTGTGCCAATTTATGTTCCCACTATTAATGTAAGAGATTATTAAATTCTAGCCAACACATATATTCTAAAATTGCTACTAGATAAAAATAGAATTAAAAATTTTTTTAACAATCTAAAATGTTTACTAGCCCTTAGCATTTTCTTTTTTGTGACTTTTCTTCTATCTAAAGGATTTTAGTGTTTTTCTTATCTATTTGTATATGCTTGTTGTAGACTGAAATTATCCTTTCTGTCATATTTTAAGCAACTATTTGTTGTTTTCATTTAAATTGTATTTTAAGTAGCTTTTTTATATCACTTAGTTATAAATTTTATGTAATCAAATATATTTTCCTTTGTGATTTCCAATGTTTTAAGCTTACACATTCTTCCAAATATTATTTATAAATTTCCGCTCTATTTACTTCAAATGTTTTTGTTTTTGTTTTTCTTTTACTTTGTACTTTTAAAACTGCTTAAAGCACCTAAAAGTTATTTTGGCATAAAACATGAAATGAAGATGAAATCGCTCTTTCTCTTAAAAGCAAACCACTGCTTCAGCAACATTTATTTCATAACCTCTGCCACTGACTTGTGATGTCTCCTTTACCATATTTTATGTTCTTACATATAATTGGGTCTGTTTGGAAGTTATCTAACTCCACTCTATCAATCTGTTACTCTATTCTTGGGTCAAAACAAAAGTGATTTAATCACTGTAGATATAAATATGTGTAACAAAGAAGCTGTGCCTAATTTCTTTTAAAAAGTAGCTAAATGACCATTAAAATAATCTTTTTTTTTGTAACAAAAAAGAAAAACCACATTAAGAATTTTTATTGGAATTGCACTAAATCTTTAAATTCAGGAAGAAGTGACTTTTAAAATTCTATGTACATTAGCAAATTCTTATAATGTTATTCAACTAAGTTTCGCATATTTCTTTTTAAGACCATGTGTAGATTTTTGTTAACTTACGTGAATGGGATCATTTTTCTACTACTTGGCAAAGTCTGAGTGAAAAAAAGACAGATTCACAGGTGCTACTTTTGGACTAAATCTGAAAAATAGTGGTATCACAGTTTCTGGGAGACACATTACGAACCCACTAAAAATCTTGACTTGTGAAAGTTATGATGAGATGATCAATACTGGATAGAATACTTGATTACATGAGACATTTAACACAATCCAAAGCAGAATAAGGCACTATTCTATTCCTAGGATTTAAAAATAAAGAAAGAAGGTGTGTTTCAGATCGAACTAGAAAAAGAGAAGAGGGAAAAAAATGGCAAGACTATTTGAGTTCCAATGTTAAGGGCTGTTATTAATAGCCAGTGCTTTGGGCTAGGGTGGAAAAACGAAAAATGGAGTATGCTATTAAGCTTCCTTGTACATTTGTCAATGCTTTTTCCACTCTTCCTGTCTCTTCGAATTCCTATGAAAACCAGGTCCTGCAGAGTGCGTCAATCAGATAGTAATATTACTTTATTTGGGCAACATCATAATGAAAAGTTTCTAGCATGCCCTGTCACTAAAGAATGTACAAGGCTCATGCTTGTGTATGCACATGTCATTCTCAACCCTCTTCTGGTGTGTTTCAAAAGAACAATGATTTCTTATTGGTTCATAAAACTGTATCTGTCAAGTAGGGACCATGGCTCTTGTTTGGCAACAGAGTTCACCTTACCTGAGTCAGGTTGCTATTCAGCTTTTGCTCAGTCTAAGTAGGAGATCAACAGGTAGTAACTTTGTGCTTTCACTAGAACAAGAGTTATGATTTTGTTTTTCTGGTCATTCTTAAATTCATACACATCACGAGCTCCTAGGGATGTCCTGATTCTTCTGTGAAATGCAGGAAGTAATGGAACAGTAGAGTAGGATCCAGAGTGCCGTGCTGTAGCTCTGGTTCCGTCCAGGGAACCGGGAATGACAGGAGCACAGAAGGCAGCAGCTCCAACCTTGGGCTAAGCATATATTTCCTTATTTCTTTCCTCTTTCCTTCCCTCCCTCCTTCCGTGTCTGTCCATCCGCCCACCCACCCCTTTCTTCTTTCAAAATAATGTTCAACCACTCAAAAATACAAGAACTTTTAAACAATCAATAATAACTAAATTAGAAAGCAATGAGCTTGGCTCTTCTGCTATTCCATGGTCACCCTGACTCTCCACTCCAAGTTTACAGTAAAGGAATGCTGCTACACCTGCTCACCTATTAAGGGTCAATGAAACAGACCTTAAAGAAGTCTAGTAATAGAACCATGATACCTTACACATAAAAAAAAAAAAAAAAGTATCCATTTTTAGTTTCTTGCTTTAGTTGCCAATGGTTTCTTATTTCTTAAAATACAGTACTACCTTAGGAAATAGAAATATAATTTAAAGTTAGATTATTAGCTATCGAATCTTTGTCATGTTTGTTGTATATCAGAGCATATAAATTGATTTAATGTTTGATGAACCTAATTTTTAAGAAGAAAACTGAATTAGAGTCTCTGGTTAGGTTTTCCTGTTCTCTCAGAAAAAATACCAACCAGCCAGGTAATTCCAACCAGCCAGGTCATACAAAACCTAAATAGAAATTCTTAACTCAGCCCAAATATAATAAAGAATTAAGGAAGGAAGAAGGAAGGGCATCATCTGCTTAACTGCCAGTAAAAGTGTCAAAAAGTATACAGTTTTGAGGTACTCTCATACGTGTGCCTATGCAAAGCCATCACTGGAGAGAAGATATACACATAAAGTTTTGTGAACACACAGGTACCACCATTTTTGGTTGGGAACAGAGGCGTCTTCTTTCTGCATCTGCCTCCAGGATATTGCTTAATATATTACTTAGTGTCTCAATTATTAATTTACATGAGGGCGTTTGATTTTTAAAATTGTGGTAAAAATACATAACAATAAATTTGACATCTTAATCATTTCTAAGTGTACAGTTCAGTAGTGTTAAGTATATTCATATTGTGCATTGTGCAATAGATCTCTAGAAACTTTTCAGCTTGCAAAACTGAAACACTATAACCACTGAACACTAACTCCCCAAGCTCCCCCGCCAGTCCTTGGTAATCAACTTCCTAATGTTTGTTTCTATGATTTTGACTGCTTTAGATACCGCACATGAATGGAATCATACAGTATTTGCCTTTTTGTGACTGG